ATGTGTCCCAAAGTCATTTTTTTCCAAGCTAATCTCTAAGAAAAAAGTAAATCCTCCAATTTGTCAGATCCTATTTTTGTCTGTTTTTATAGCTTTGGATCCTGGAATCCTGTTTTTGTCTGTTTTGATAGCTTTGATAAGACTTTTTTTAGAATCACCAGAACAACTCTAAAAATATACATTCCTTTAAATCTCTGAACTATAAATTGTCAATATTCTAATACATGTTTATTTAAATATTATTTAACCTCTTACAGACCTAACAAACTCAGCACAAGATTGAATATATCCTTTTTGAATTTTATGCTGACTCTTCTTAAGGTTCAAATATCTATTAATATATTTTATTAAATTTCTTTGCAGAGTAACTGGTTCAATCATTTGGAAACCGGATCTTAGCCATGGAAACTATAATCCTCCAAGAATACATTCCTTGCTACATTCAGTAACTGTAGTGGTACAATGTACACTATGACAAATAATTTATTTTTATTTTTTTTTTTAAATAGAAAAATTCAAACTATTAAAGAATAGTTTATTAATTACGAACGGCTAGTACAATTTTTAAAATAACGTTGAGTCTTGTCAAAGATAAAATGAATAAAGTAACCTGAAACTGTTTCTTAAAGGACAAGCAACAAGTGATTTTTTTCTGAATTGGAACCATAATTTTTTCTTTAAGTAGAGAAAATGCCTAATAACATCAGCCCCTGTTAGAAGTTGAATTGAGGGTATCTTCGCTGGTTTACCGACTAAGAAGTATTACTTTCCACGACTACTTTCTCTTCACTTCATATTTCGTTTTTGAACTTCAGTATTTTCTTAAAGGATTCCCTCTGTATTCGCGGTTCGTTTTTTTAGTTATAAAGTTAAACTAAACTAAGGAATTGAATATTTGAATCAACTCATGAAAGTTTTGATAAAAAAAGATAAACAGTTCATGACTTACCACCAGCATTTATGAAAAAATAAGAAAAAAAAATTAAGAAAAAAAGATTAAAAATAATTGAAAACAACATGCACGAAAAACTAAAGTACAAATGTACTTTTAAGTACCGGTTTTTAGGAATATTATTGACGCTTCTTAAAAGACACAGTACTTAGATTGTTTTTATAATATTTCCAAATCTTGTACTTGTACTTAAAAAAAGCCTGTGGGCAAAAGTATTATTTATAAAGAATCATAAAATGGTTAACTGCATTTAAACAAAAGTTAGGCCTCTGACCCCTCAACAGGTTCTCAAAGACAAGATATGCAAATAAATATTTTAAATTTAAAATGCATATTGTTAAGGACCTTGCATAACATTTTTAGGACTCAACAATTTGCGCCAAAATCTGCATTTTTTAGCGATTGATTAATTTTCCAATTTTTTATCATTACATTTTTTTTGTTATAATTTGAAAAATCATATGGCGCAATGTGATCCAATAAAGATAAGAACTCAATTTTTTCCATACGTCAAGTAGACACGGTTAACTATAAAATAAGTCGTATACATATTTGTAGCACAATCAGGTCTTTAGATAATTGGTAACTAGTAGGAATTTCAAAAAATTGAAAAAAATGGCGTAAGTTGGCGCGAGGTGTTAAATAAAATATCATTTTTTTTTTAAATAACTTGTAATTGCCGATAGTTCAAGCCTGCATACATGTTAAAATAACAATATATATATATATATATATAATATATATATATATATATATATATATATATATATATATATATATATATATATATATATATATATATATATATATATATATATATATATATATATATTTATATATAAATATATTTATATATATATATATATATATATTTATATATAAATATAATTTATATATACATATATACATTTGTAAATATACAAATATATATATATGTATGTTTATTATATATTATATTTATTTTTAACTTCATCTATTTACAAAAACGAATAATTACAATAATATAACCAAATATAAATATATATATATATATATATATATATATATATATATATATATATATATATATATATATATATATATATATATATATATATATATATATAAATGTGTATATATATATATATATATACATATATATATATATATATATACATGTATATATATATATATATATATATATATGTATATATATATATATATATATATTTATGTATATATATTTATTAAAATATATATATATATATATATATTTAGGTGTATATATAAATATATATATAAACGTATATATATATATATATATATATATATATATATATATATATATATATATATATATATATTTATATATATATATATATATATATATATATATATATATATATATATATATATATATATATATATATATATATATATATATATATAAGTAGTAAAACACTAGATTAACTTTTTTAAATTAAATAAATCTCTACGGCAGCTTTTTTCTCTATCATTAGGTTCATCAGAAAGCTTTTCTGGTAAACCTAATGATGGAGGAAAGAGTTAGATATGTGTTACTTATTTATTAACTCAGACTCTAAAACAAATTTTTTAAATATTTCTTTAATTTCTTTGACATCATATTACATAATAATTGGTTTTTTTTTTTGAAAAATATATGAAAAGTTCTTTGAAGGTTTATTATTTTGTACATGCACGTGCATTCCTGAGAGGTTTTACTATTGGATTTTGTTTAGCAACTTTGACTCCACTAAACATGTCGCGCCTTAGCAACTCTGTAGCCCTAATTGCTCTGCGCAGCCCTGACTTCTCTGCTCTTTAGAAACATTGAGCATTCTATTTGTAGAATACACTTACATAAAAAAAAAAAATAATAATAAAAAAAAATTATAATAATTTATAGATATATATTTATATTTATGTATACATCGGCTTTTTGTAGGTATCAGCAATTTTTTGTATTAAGTTGAATTATATAGTTTATATGAAAACGCCATTTTTTAAAGAAATGAGTCATTAAAAATAAATCAACATAAACAAAATAAAACTCTCCAGCGGTTTATCTTTATTTTCTGCATATTTGCTTTTTTATTAAAAACTTTATCGTTTATAAATAACTAACTTTAATATATTGACAATTCTAAATCAAACAAATAAGATTTAAAAAAATAATCTACAAAGGAAGCACTTCTTTATTTCTTACGGAAACGCTTTGCACTAAATTATTGAAAAATACAGTTACTTGAATTATGAAGTAATTAAATTAAGCTGCATATAAAATAAAAACGACTTACTTACATTCAGCATTCAAGGCCGACGACACGGATTTTGAAGAGGGGGAGAGGCACCATCATCAATTTTTAAAACAGTTCTCTCTATCAAGATCTTTCAAAAATAAAAATAAACTATAAAAATGTCCTTTAGAACAAATGTGTGGGAAGGCAGGGGGGGGGGAAATCAAGTGCTCCATTTACATTCAACGTTTTTTACTTACATTCACCTGCAAGACTTATATAAAAGATACAATATGTTGGTAATTTAAAACAAACAAGGCAATTAATTTTTATTTCGAAACCGTGCAAGGCAAGTAAAATCCAGTAATAAAAGTGCCGTAAACTTCACAAAAATGTTTTGTCTAACGTTAATTTTATTAAAGTGTAGCACAAAATAGTTATAATACTCTATAAAACCATGAAACAACAAAATTTAATAAAAATGTGCATGCAAACTATGGTTTTATGTTTTTAGTTGAGGCTAAGAAAATTTTATATAAAAATTGCAAATGTGCTCAATTGTTCATTTTTTTTGCTAGTCTAAATTAAATAGGATTTTTGAAAAAACGATGAGGGAAAAAACAAAGAATAATGAATGAAAAGGCTGCTGACCCATACCTTAGCATCAGTCGATGTAGCAGCACTCCACTGCGAATCAGGCTATTTGTCAGTGGATGTATGTACAGAAGCCCCCGGCAGCAGGCTTTTTCAGTATGACGTCATCATGCTCACCTAACTCAGCAGTATAAGATGAAATGTTGCAAAACCTTAACTAATATCTTTTTAGAAAAACGCCTTTAAAGTGAAAAAATTAATCTATCTGTAAACTTAACATAAAAAGTATGAGGTAAAATAATTTACCAATTATTAATTAACATTAATTGAGTAACTGACGTAAGTCATAACAGTGTAAGGCAGAACCGTTTTCCTCGACATTCCTAATTTCAACACAATACGTTTTTAGTTAATGACACGAAATAATAACACTTTATCATGCTTTATATTGATGAAAATATCCACTAAATCCTAGTAGTAATTTTTATATCCATGAACTTTAATTAATTATTAAGATTAAGTTAATTTATATTATACAGGAGTTATCAATTTTTTGGTATACCCTTGATTAATTTTTCATTAGAAAAGAAAATTGTTATCTTAAAAACGTTAAATGCGCACAACTAAATAAATTTATTGAAAATAACTAAGTTTATTATAAATAATTGAGCAATTGAATACAAATACGTTTCAAACAAAAATAAAATTAATTTACAATCAAACATGTGTATAACAAATTTAAAAAAATATGTAAACTTTGATCATTTATATTGCATTAATGCGTCAAATGACAAACCTAAAATAAAAATTGTAACAGATAAGTAGACATAAAAGAAAAGAAACAAATAACTGGAAAACAAATAACTGGAAAACAATTTACCTTTTAAATTACCCAAAATACCTAATTTTCGGTAAAATATTGTGATACTTTAGTTGTTTTCATAATGCAGCATGTTTTAGTTTTTTTCATGATGCAGCATGTTTTACTTGTTTTCATGATGCAGTTCTTGTCGGTGTTATTTAATGACGTTATTTTATGTTGGCTTTTAGCAAACTTTAGGTTAATTTAAAAGACATCTCAATGGATTTAAAATATTTTAATTAAAAAGCAAATTTTAAAATACGTTAAGTAGCCAAACTATAAACATTAAAAATAAAAAAGTTAAATTGGTGAAAAAATATTGCATTTATATAGCTAAATAAATTGTTTTGGCTTATAGTAAATTTTAAAAGCAGTGAGTTTAATAAATGAAACTACTAATAAATTATTTTTAACAAAAGCATGTTGCATCATTATAATGATAATTAGATAATGAATCAGTTTAACTATATTTAAGTTTAATTTGCGAAAAAATTATTAAAGTTTTAATTAAAAAAGACCAAAGCAATTCAAATATACAACATAATATATTATTAAAAAAGAAGTTACAAATTAAAGAAAAAAACAAACTACAAAATTTTATATATAAAAAAAAAATAACCAAAGAAAAGGCGGCAACAAAAAAGTTATAAATATCTCCACTGATAGAAGTTATTTACAACTTTTTGGTAGCCGCTTTTTCTTCGGTGTCTTCCAACACCCCGATATGGATGATCCCTCCATTTGAAGGAAGACTCATCCATACCGCCATTTCTACACCACTTATTGAAGTACCTCTCTGAGAGAGACCCTGGGTGTTGGGAGCGATAACTTTGATATCGCTCAAATATTAACGAATCTAAAACTACAAATAGAAGACTATATTAAAAAAGTATAAATATTTGGAATTTTATTTATTCAAAATATAAAGCATAACCTCAACATTATCACAAGTGACGGAAGATGAAGCTAAAATATAAAAAAAAAAAACTAGTTGAATGGGATTAAACATGTAAAAAAAAATATTTTAAGAAAAATTTGAATATAAGGCAACCAGTTAAAAAATGTCGTATTTATTAAAAATTATAAATATTTGCAATTTTGTTTAAACGGTAAAGTAAAACGGGAACAGTTAAAAAATGTCATATTTATTAATTAATTCTTTCACCTATTGCGCATGTTTTTCCATACAAACTATATAAAATATAAAACACAGCCCTACCATTTATGCTTCTACCAGACACTAAAGACACAAAAAATATTCTTCAGGATAATCAATAAAATAATATTTACATATAAGTAACATTAACATAAATAAGTTTTTTTTACCTAATCACCTCGCTTCCTTCATAAAGTTTTCTAAAGTAAGAAAAAAGATAATTGAAGCTAAAACTAACTAAAAAAAACTATAAACTAAACCAAAACTATAAACTAAATTAACCTTTAAATCTTATAACAAATGTCTTTTTTGTTTAACTACACTAATCATATAATTTATACTTTAAGAAAAAATAAAATAAAGCAAAAGTACTTCAAGTGAAAAATTCCAGTTACAGTACAAATAAACAAACTCCTATTAACAAATATCTAATAGCAAAAATACTGACTTATTTCAGTCTTCAATTCTGTGTCTAAACAATTAAAGCACTTAAATGTAACATGTTAAAATATCTACCAAATTTTTTGAAAATAAATTCACCTAACTAATGTAACAAATACCTTCATTAGCTCTCTTTTTATAAACTAAAGAAAATAAATCTAAATTTTAAATTTCATTTCTTTGTTATTATAATATATAATTTTAAGTAGGACCTGATTATTTGGGCTTATTGTATAAGATTTTAAAAAACAAACTGTTTTACAGTTTTAAAGTCAATAACAACATTTTGAAACCATTTTAGTTATTTAATAAGAAAAAATATTAATTTTAAACTTACTAACTCTTTTTTCATTGATGTTAACTAAACAGAAAAACAAACAATCGCTAGTAAATTTTCAACAGCAAATTCATTGTGTGAAGGTAGATTATAGCGATGTCTATCACCCCCTTAAAGTAAAGACATTTTTACAAAAGAAGCTGAGCAACCTTCTATAGCTGCTTGACAAATTTCTTCAACTTCTACTTGAGCATATGTTTTTAAATGCAAGAGGAAATTGGACTTTGTTAAGCAATTATAGTTTGCAGTTGAAACATTAAATCAAGTAAACAAAGATCGTTACCACGTTGTTGAATTCTAAAATTTACTGCTGCAAGTTGATCATATGTATAAATATAGTTGAAAATATATTGGTGAAATATCTTGATCTGGCATAAGATTACCCACACGATGATAAATCTGATATATATTTTAAAACATAGAGAACAATGGTTTACTGGTTGAAACTCATTTGCTTTAAAAGAAGCGAAAGAAAGACATGCATTATAATTTCGAATATGTTTTAAAAAATTACCATTAGCATTGCAATCTACATAACTCCCTGTAAATAAATCCTGTAAAGCTTGTGTAAATGGTGAAAGTGGAAATAAAGCTACCTTACCATTATGGCAACATAGAAAATGTGTTTCATCTGAAAATTTCTTAGCACCACAGTGCTGACAAATTTGATTCATTTCTCCTAAATAATTACAATCTGGAATAGTATTACCTCTTCCTATAAAATACATTCTTCCTGGTCTAGCAGCATTTCAAGCATTTTGGCGAAGAATAATTTCATCTCTCCTACCTCTATCTCTATCATTTCTGTGTTGATTATTTTCAATTTGCATAACTGCATTGTCCACATTTGGGTTCATATTATTTTCTGCTTGTCGAGCAGCATTTCTAACATTTCGTAGTTGATTAATTTAATCTCGTCTAGTTCTATCTCGAGCATTCATAAGACGATTATTTTTAACTCGCTTAACCACCCTTTCAATGTTGGGGTTCAAGTTATCTTCAACTCGTATACCAGCTCTTCTTACATTTTGTTGACAATTAGTTTCATCTCTCTTTCATTTCGGCGATGATTATTTTTAATACACCTTATAGCATTTACATTATTTTGTAAATGCATAACATCATCAGCCATTTCAATGAAATTGCTTACATTAAACATATTTATTAAAATAGAAGACAAATTGATTCAAATTCTTATCTCGTTTTGTACTTCTCTAAATTGCACAATAGAATAAAAAAATTTAATTGAACTAAAAATTTAAAAATAAATCTTTCTTACAAAATTAAAAGAAAAATTAACAAAACTAATGTAAACATTTTCCATTCTAGTAGCTAAAACAATATATCTATAGAGAACAAATACAAAACATATCAATAAAGAGATCAAATTTAAAAAAAATCAATAAAGAAACATAATAATCAGGATCAAAATGTCTTTCTTACTTTAAATATATATATATATATATATATATATATATATATATATATATATATATATATATATATATATATATATATATATATATATATATATATATATATATATATATATATATGTGTGTGTGAGTGCGTATGTAGTCTTGCATGGCAGTCACAAAGTTTTTACAATAAACTGTTGTTTTAAAGAGCGCGTTATAAGCCTGATCAGAAAATGTTAAAAAACTTCACAAAAATTTTTTTTTTTATTAAACTAGTGATGATTTATTTTTTTTATTGGCTAATTATTGTTGTTTAAATAAAAAATAATATTTTATTTCTAACCGGTCAAAGTTGCCATATGGCAACAAAAAATATCTCAAAAAGTGCTTATGTCAGTCTAAAATAAAATTATTGATTATTACTCTATACACAAAGTGAATCTTTTAAAATAAAAATAAAATTTTTTCTACTATTTATTTAAGTACGTTTTTTTTTTTAATTTTAATTCACCTCCTCAAGGCCGAGTTGGCCACTACAGACGAGGAGGCTACTTATTTGTGGCTATAACCCTCTCTCAACTCATTAACTCCGAAACACGAACCTTGACGAACAAGGCTGCTGCGCGAAGAAACGAGTTGAGCGCGGTACTACCAGGGACGTGGTGGGGATCGAATTCGGAACCACTCTTTTATGAAGCGAGCGCTCTACCACTACACCACTACCGCATAAGTACTGACATGTAAAGAGTAATAAATAAATAATATATATATATATATATATATATATATATATATATATATATATATATATATATATATATATATATATATATATATCTTATAGTGTATATATATAATATATATATATATATATATATCTTATAGTGTATATATATATTTATATATATATATATATATATATATATATATATATATATATATATATATATATATATATATATATTATATATATATATAAATATATATATATATATATTTATATATATATATATATATATATATATATATATATATATATATATATATATATATATATAAATATATATATATATATATATATATATATATATATATATATATCCTTATAGTGTATATATATATTTATATATATATATATATATATATATATATATATATATATATATATATATATATTATATATATATATAAATATATATATATATATATATATATATATATATATATATTATATTTATATATATATATATATATATATATATATATATATATATATATATATATATATATATATATATATGTATATATATATATATATATATATATATATATATATATATATATATATATATATATATATATATATATATATATATATAAATATATATATATATATATATATATATATATATATATATATATATATATATATATATATATATATATATATATATATATATATATATAAATATATATATATATATATATATATAAATATATATATATATATATATATATATATATATATATATATATACTTTTTTTTTTTTTTTTTACAACTGTTTTATATGGTTTTAACATCTATTTTATAACCTTTTTAGTGCATTAGGAATCGCCCATAAAGTATGTACTTTCGGAAGGGATGAAGGGGTCTGCAAATAGCGATTATGAGATGGAAGGGCAGAGGATCAATTATAAACAAAAAGGAGACACTAAATTACAAAAAAAATCTTTAAATGTTGGGTGGATACGTTAGAAGTTTGTATTCACGTCAGTTATGTATTTCATCTAAGTTAATTCAGGTTAGTTCAAAGTTTGTATTCACGTTAAGCGTAACATTTACTTAAAAAATGTCAAGTAAAAGCAATTGTTTTTTGTTCACCTGACCTGTACAAAATGTAATGAAAAGTTTCAAATAATACTTATAACTTTAACGCAAAGATAAGACAAACACAAGGCGAAATATATTCCCAACTTTCGTTATATATCTCGCCTTATATCTTACGTTATATATTTTCTGCATTAATATAAGTTTGGATAGGATGAATGCTAAAATAAATATTTGATGGATAGGATGAATGCTAAAATAAATATTATATACGTTAACTAAAAAATAAATAGATATATACATTTAACTTACTTTTTTGTATTTTTATATATAATTTTTGCTGGACTATTAAATAAAAAAAGAAAGCTAATAAAATGGCTTTAATATTATGAGAGCCATATACAGGAATTACCTTTTTCCTTTATTGCTTATATATTTTTCAAGTTATAGTCTTTTTGAATATCCCTCAAAATTTAGATATGATTTTTGTAATTCATTAGTTTTTTAAGCTTTTCATTCATTACTCTTAAAAAAGTTTGAAAAAAAATATAAACAACTTAGCTAAAACCAAATTTAAAAAGATATAAAGGAAAATATATTCCTGATACTTATAATGTCATTTTTTTATGTCTTTTGATGACAAGATTAAGAAGAAAAAGACGTCTTTTCGTTGTCGAAAAAAGATGTCTTTAAATTTGCGCAATCAACTAAAAAAAGACGATTTAAAGATATCGTAAATAAGACTTTTAAAATTGTCTTTTCGACGTCTTTTTTCCCACTGGGTATTGGGAAGTAGCAAAACTTAAGCATTGCTTAAAGTTAAAAAAGCAACAACAATAAATCAGGTCTTGATTTTTGAAATTAATGTTTGTTTTGCCAAATGACAACATTGGGAAAAACAGTTAAATTAATTTCATAGTTTATAATATCTTATTTTATATCAAATTGCAAATGTAAAAATTTGAAATAATTCTAAACAAAAAAAAAAAAAAAAAAAGATAAATAAACTAGCAATAACTATGCAATGTATTAATGTGTCTGCGTCTAAGATCAATTAAAAGGCTGCAACAACATATTTGTTCCGGCTAGTAAAAAAATGCGTTAGTATAAAAATCGCGTTACAGATAAAGACCAGGCAAAAAATTGTCTACTCTTTGTACAACAATAAAATAATAATTACATATTTGTTATACAATTTTACTCTAAACAAAATAGTTACATATTTATTATACAATTTCACTATTAACATGCATTTGGCTCATGCAAGGTGAGAAATGTGTGTATGTGTATGTGTGTATGTATATATGTATATATATACATATATATATATATATATATATATATATATATATATATATATATATATATATATATATATATATATATATATATATATATATATATATATACATATACATATATATATATATATATATATATATATATATATATATATATATATATATATATATATATATACATATATATATATATATATATATATATATATATATATATATATATATAGTATATATATATATATATATATATATATATATATATATATATATATATATATATATATATATATATATATATATATATATATATATATATATATATATATATATATATATATATATATATGTATATACGTCATGTTTACGTCATGCCCCTTCCTAAAAACACGACTATTTATATTGAAAAATGTAATAAGTAATGAATAAAATATTTATGAGTATCTCGTGAAATTGTTTAAAAAAAGGGTTCTCGATCACAAGACTTTACACAGTTTTCTGCGAGTTTCCCTTGACTACATAACTAAAGGTTTAATTTTTCCCTTTTTAAGACTGTTTTTTGTCTTTTCAAAATATAAACTGAAAAACTATTTTACATTGTTTTATTACTTTGTATATCAAATATATCTTTGTATTATATCAGTTATTTTCAAAGCATTTTGACTGTATTTGTAATAAAAGTATATATTGTTAAAACTATTTGTAATAATAGTACGTATTGTTAAAGCTATGTAGTTGTAAAAATATATGGAAAAAAAAAATTGCTCCTTAACTTCAAGACATTCGTGCAATTATTGTTCATTACATCCGGCAAATATTTCCGCCTCAGATTAGGCGGACGCAGCCAGTTGGGAGGCAGAGGCTAATGGAGGCGGCCTTTAAATGGTGTTGCCTCTAAAATTTCTTCTGGAGGTAGCCACCATTGGTTTTCGCCTCCCTATTTGGCGTCGGTCTCCAAAACATTTTGCCTCAAAAAAAAAAAGCGAGAATATTTACGTTGTTTATCAACACTAGTTTGAAGTGATATTAAGAATTTCAAAAGTAAAAAATTGTTTTGATACCGTTTTTATGATTTCGATAATATCAAAAAGTTTTGATGCTAGAAATAGAGATTTAAAAATGAAATATTTCTTCGGTGCCATTTTTAATACAAATTGTAGAGACTCCAAAGTAATAAAATATTTTGGTGTCATATAAAGAATTTCGATAATATAAATATATTTCAATACAAATAATTAAGTTTCGAAAGTGAAATATTGTTTCCGTAAATTTTCGATAACGGAAATATATTTCGATACAATTTTCAAAGTTTCGAAAGCGAAAAATACTTTCGGAGCTATTTTTAGGATTTCGTCATTTAAAAAATGTATTGATTGGGTATCGTGAATTTCGTTTAGCGAAATTCACCTCGGTTCAAAACTAAGTAATTGGAAATCGTTTCAAACTTACTGAAACAAAAATAGAGTTTTGAAAAGTTTTTTTTAATTGGAAAAATGAACAACCCTATACCAATTTGTACCATAAACAAAATTACATATATTCGCAAATGTCTAAACTACTGTAAAGTTCACACAATGGTGGAATATGCTGACACTATTTTAAAAATAATTCTTTAAAATTGATTATTAAAGAATTCTTTTTATCTAAAGAATTTTTTTCATAATAGTGTCAGCATATTTCAC